AAACATTGCAAATGGAAGAAAATAAGAACTTCACGTGATAGACAGGAGTAATAAAAAAATAAGGATGGTGGTGTGCTATTTGTTTTGGACCAAATGGCCTGCTACCCAGCTCTTTCTAGAAAAAATAATTTTGATTTTTAACAGAACTATTTTTTGGACACCTTCTACCATGCAACAATTAATTTCTGTTCTTTATAAAAAAAAAACAATTAAATTCACGCATTGGAATCAGCAGGACATGGGCGAATACCCAATACCATGGAGTTGAAGAATGCAGGCTAGGAATAGCGATATTTAATAGCATGCCAGAAAGTTGAATGAATTTAAGGAAATCGAGACTTTCATGGCGGTTGTCAAAACATATAATCAACCATTTCCATAATTGCAAGACTATTGGCAGGTTGAGAATGATATAAAAGTATAATGTTTGAGGACGTACCTGGATTTATTACAGAACTCAACGTTTATATGCGCATCGAAACGCAATAATAAATATCTATTGTATAGAACAACGAAGCGGTTATCCAATGCCATTGAATTGACTTGGAAAGATATCCCAGTATCACGACGACGATATTTCGCAAAACCATTATCATCAATTGTTGTTTGTGAACAAAACTGTTTGGGAAAACGTTTAGTACACACACCGCCTTCTGTGCAAGGAGCATTATGGCCCAAAGCTCCACATGCACCATCCAACATAAATGAAGTTACAGCTTGGTAACCCTCCGGGTCAAGATCACGATTTGGTATTTCCGCCGATATTACGGAATCAATTTCCTTTGGTCCACTAAGTTTATAGTCTGAAGCTAGAAACACCAATATATGAGCATGAGGAAGGCCCCGTTTCTGAAATTCTGTTGCCATGACATATGCGAACATCAAAATAGGCGTTATTGTGTATAGAAACCAATAAGAATGAATAATTAAAGCAGGTCAATAGGGGAGACATAATACATATATTTGTAAAAGCTCATTTAATTAGCATATGAGAAGGACAACAAAATTTGTCTCCCAAGACCCACATCTTGCATCACATACACGTGTTCTCTGTTTTCCTATGAGCTATAAAAGTATGCCATGGAAATAATCAATCTCCACAATCAATTATTAGATTGGAAATACATCTACAACAAAAGGAGGCGGACTACACTGGGTGGCACTATTCGAATTTGAAAAAAAAAGTTGCAGTATTCGGATAAAAAAACAAAGACAAACCAATAAAGTAGTAATGGAGAATATAACTTACGTCTAGTGTTGCCCCAAAATTTTCTTATCTCTGATTTCAGACATTAATTGATGCAGCTTCAGCTTGAAGACTCTAGCAATAATATCCGATCTATTGATATCTTTCCGACCATCTGAGTTGATCAGGTCCACCATAAATTGGATTTCTAGCCAATTTGCATTGCATGTGAATGTTATGAATAAATCTGGGTATCCCAGCCACCTACAAATTTCCATTTCATCTTGAAAGTTCTCATACTTATACCGTGGACTACCTGTATGAGAAGCAGCCAAAATAACATGATTGCCAATCAAATCGAGATCAGAGTCACCACGCAAAAATGCATCGAGCAACCCACTAACATAATGGGCACGAAGCTTAGATTGGTTATTGCGGATCCATTCAAGTCGCTCTGCTTCAACTAATGCGTATGCGTTAACAACATACTGCTGAAACAATTTCCCAGTTAGGAGTAATGCATTTGATCGAACAAATCTGGTTTGCACTCGATATGCATAGTAATCACATTGAGACAAAGTATTGTCATTCCAAAGATTCTCCTCGTCGTCATCTTCATCGTCAATACAGGGTATACCTGGATGCCATCCATCCTCACCGTAGGGGAATAGGAGTGGATATTGTAACGCCATTAAAGATGGATGGTGAAAATTGATTCTCTCTAGCTTAGAGCACTTGTACTGAACAATAATATCTGGCTGAAATGTATCTTGACATGTTTCATCAACAATCAATGATGCTACAACATTCCCCGTAGGTAGATCATATTCTCTTCCATCATGTGCACGGTTGGCAAACAATTTGATCTTGACCTCTTGAACCCCCGCCTCATTCATCCTTTGTCTAGCCATTCGAAAGGTCTGGACCAAAACATTGTTGTTGTCTAGCATATCTTGCAATCCTTGAACAATTTCTGGACGTAATGGATTCGAATGGTCATCGGCAGGAAATAGTTGTAACCGATTCTGAAGTTCAGAGCCTGACTCATGAATATATAATTGGGCAAACTTTGGAGGCTGGCCTCTTCGGGTAATAAACTGCCTATACTGTGGTAAATTTGACCACTTATAGAGTAGACATATACCCCACCACCAGCATTAATACCACGATCGACCATCCCACCTAGAGGAATGAAGGAAAATATAGCATTGTATATACGGATTGCTTCCCGAAAGTGGCGACTCCTTGGTGTTGAAGATTGTAATAATTCCTTCAAGAAATCAGGTGGCTCCCGCCTAGGAGGCAATTTGACCTTCCCTTCTTTGCAGCACAAAGGAAACACAGGATTACTGTGGGATCTGGTATGCAGCGTGCTTTCCTGTGGCCACATAAGTGCATAACAATATACAAAGACGTGAAGGTTGGCCAAGTGTAAAAACTTCGACAACAGGAAAGCCTACAAAAAAAAACATGCACATACATTACACAATGCCAAAACCTTGCATTACTGATGTAGGAATGATAGTAACAATGCGGAAACAAACCATGAGTTCGGCAAAACCCTCTAGGAACAACATTAACCCTCCGTCTTCGACACAAAGCAATTGACCGCATAAGCCGCGCTCGTTTTGATCGTAAACGTAAGAATGAAACAGTAAAATCTGGAAGAGTAGACCTCAACAGTCAATCCACCATCAAGTAATAACCAAACATATTTTAGGAGTTATGATATGACACCCATCAGAATGCCAGAATGTACCCTTAATTAAATGGGGTTTTCCAAAAATCAGAGTTTGTGATTAGTAAAATATTTGCACTGGATAGGAAACAAATAATGGTGGAGTTACGTAGTGAAACATGATGAACACATCAGTAGGAAATCATGTACCCTTAATAAAATGGGTTTGTCACAAAATTAAAGTTTGTGGCAAGTAGATTAGTTAGTGGACTGAATAGGTAAAATAAATTACCCAGTGAATTGTGTGCAACTATCCGCCCAGAGCGACTATCCAAGATAATACGGTGGTATTTGCGGTACAATTGAGCTACCAACCGATTAATGTGTTGAACTTGGGTGTTGAAAGAAATAATCTCTGCATAAATGTCATATCAATGTTTTAGAAATTACGAAATAGAAAAACAAAATGGAGTGCTAAATTAATACAGTTCAGCCAGTGTTCGGTGGCTACGTTGATTAAGCCGCTCCCGTTCAGAATCAGTTTGTCTTTTGGACGGAGGTCTCGGTGGGTGAAAGATTGCTCGCATCAACCCTGATAATAAAGAGAAGAGGACAAACATATGTAGGCAGTCAAGGTTAAAAACATACATAGGCAGTCAAGGTTAAACTTGTGTATTATACCTAATTAAAGAAACAATTGATGAAATACTGTCAAAAACACATAATTGGTGACAAATACATAGATGTCTTGAGTGATGAACAGGCCTCCCAATCAATCCTGGCATGGCATGAGAATCTCTATCTTGATTGGGCTCCATTGAAATCTGTCGTGGAGACATGAGATAAAGGGTGTATTGGAATAAAATAATTTAAGTCAAAGGAATATGGCTAAATCAAGCACCGCCGCCCAAAAGATTCCCCCTTACCTGGATTTAGCCGGACCTTGTTCCTTGGTGTTTGGTCGATCAGAACAGCCCTTCGTTTGGGCGATCAGGAACAGCTCTTCGTTTGGGCGGCATTACAGGAAGAACGATGGCAAATTCCGAAGAGAAGGGGTGAGGGCGCTGGTTTGGAGATAAGCCTAGGCCACATTGAGTTATTGGGCCATATCAGGCCGCTATATTGCAACAGAAGAGGAGGCCTGGCCCAGATGTTGGTCGGTCAAGATGCTGGGCGGAGGAGGTTGCAAAACGCACAGCCTCATTTAAGTGCATGACAATTACAAAAAAGACCCTCCGTCAAGTGCTCTAAGGGCTGGGCATAACAGTTGGCCACATTCAGTTTTTGGCCCATATCAGGCCCCTATTTCTAACAGAAGAGGAGGCCTGGCCCAGATGTTGGTTGGTCAAGTTGCTGGGCAGAGGAAGGTGCAAAATGCACAGCCTCATTTAAGTTCATGGCAATTACAAAAATGCCCCTCCGTGAAGTGCTCTAAGGGCAGGAAATTCAAAATGCTGCAATCCCAACCCATGAATCTCCTTTATATCTTTTGTAGATTACATACACTCTCCCTCTGCATATAGGTGGAATTATTTTATTCCCACGCAATTTTAGAGCAAACATAATTAATATCTAATTTCTTAATTATGAGAAATTAGGAATAAAAAATTACATGTATTTATGGAACTGAAAAGGTAAAACAAAGGTTTTTCGCATCATATTATTATTAAATTTTCAAGGAAGATGAAGGAGATAGAGATCAAATTAATGTAATTGTGTGTATGTAATATCCAAACCACATGCGAGACAGTTATGGATATACGAATTGTGCGAGAATATCTAAATCTATCTTCACCATTTTTCTTAGGGGTATTACCCATATTCGTTGAACATCATATCAGTTTCCCTCGTTCAATGGATCGAGAAAAGTCAGATACCCACAATTAAGAATACAATTGACTTCCCTACTCTCTACTTGTTTTTCTTCTTCATGGTTTTTCATCCAATAACCCAGCATCCACTTCCCATTGGGTTGCTTTTCAATCTCAGCATATCAGCAGCCATGGGGATAGGGTCACCATCTCCACAGTTGAGAGATGTCGTACTTTCTTTTTTTACTGTCGGTGTTAACACATTTGTGAGGAGAAACCCTAAGTCTTTTCTTACCTTTCTGATTAGAAATCACAGCTTATATAGCTGGATAGAATAGTACAAAGCTCTCTGATCTTGCTTACATTTCAAGAAAGAAGACAAATCTTGCAAGGAAAGAAAAGACATCCCGAAAAGGGTAAAAGTTACAAAAAGAAAGTTCAGGTACTACTTGGCACTTTGCCAGAAACGACATCACTCCAAGACCTCTTCTTCACGCCCGTTTTAGCCAACCCGGTGTCGTTTGCTGTCGTCTTATTCTCCCCTGTTTCTGTGCTGTCGACCGATGCAGACTTCAAAAGGAGTGAAAATCCCTCGTTTTCCCCTTACACCCCCCCCCCCCCCCGGCAAGCTGGTGGGGCAAATATTGAGGACACCAAGCTTGGAGAGGAGCAACGAGAATGGCGCAGGTGGAAGCGGCTTTGTGAAGAGGTCTGCAAGTTGGTGGACCGAAGAGACATGGAGAACCTTCACTATTTTTTCCAGAATCTTTTCACGAACGAAGTGGCAGTCGAGTTTGATGTGCTTCGTTCGTTCGTGAAAAGTGGGATTTTCAGCAATATAAATCGTCGACTGATTGTCACAGTAGATTGTTGCTGGCTGAGGATGAGGAATTTGAAATTCATTGAGAAGGTAAAGTAACCATTGTACCTCACAGGTTGTATATGCGAGAGCTTTGTACTTAGCCTCACAAGAAGATCTTGAAATGGTGATTTGTTTCTTGCTTTTCCTGTAAATCAACGAATCCCCAAGATACACACAGTAGCTAGTGACAAAACGTTTTGTGTCCACGCAAGCATCCCAGTCTGAGTCACTGAAGGCCTTCAAATGGAGAGTAGAAGAAGCTGGGAAGAAGAGCCTAGATGAAAGTGCAGACTTGAGGTAACGCAAGATCCTGAGTACTGCTTTGTAATGATCATTGCTGGGGTTGGGCATGTATTGGCTTACTTGCTGGGTTTGTTCTAGTGAGATAGATGAGTTTGCCCACTAGTCTCCTGTAGGTTTCTGGAATAGGAAACAGATCAGAATGTTCAGCTGAAAGATGATGCTTGTAATCCATTGGAGTAGTGGATGGTTTGGAGTTGAGAAGGTTTGCTTCCTCAAGAATCTCAATGTATACTTCCTTTGAGAAATGTGAATTCCCTTTTTGCTTCTGGCAACTTCAATGCCAAGGAAAAATTTCAAGTTCCCCATATCTTTGATGCTGAATGTGTGATGTAGAAATGTCTTGAGGCTTTAAATTTCATCCAGATTGTTCCCTCCAATAACTAAATCATCCACGTAAACCAGTATGCAGGTGTAGCAAGAACCTGTTGATTTGTAGAAAAGAGAGTGATCCACTTTGCTTGGAGAGTAACCTTGTGACTGTAGCTTGGTTGCCAACTTTGTGAACCACTGCCATTAAGCTTGTTTTAGTCCATAGATTGATTTCTTGAGGCGGCAGACTGGATTTTTGAAACCTGGAGGGGGGATGTAGCCAGGTGGGAGTTTCATGTAAACCTCCTGATCCAATTCGCCATGTAGAAAGGCGTTGTTGACATCCAATTGTTGGATATGCCAGTTCTGGGATGTAGCAATAGCTAGGAACAGCCTGATAGTGGTCATTTTCACTACATGAGCAAAAGTGTACTGATAATCCACTCCTTCCTGTTGACTGTAGCCTTTTGCTACAAGTCTTGCTTTCTATCTTTCCAAACTGCCATCTGCCAAATGCTTGTTTTTATAGACCCATTTGTTACCCACTTCTTTCTTCCCAGGTGGGAGTTCAACCACATCCCAAATTTGGTTGGCTTCCAAAGCCTTTGTTTCACTTGTCATTGCATCATTCCATTCTGGAAACAGAATGGCTTCCTTGTATGATTCTGGTTCTTTGAGGGATGAAATGCTCAGAACAAAATGTTTGTGATTAGGATATAAAGTAGAATAGTCAATGACTAGGGATGGCAATGGGGTGGGTTTGTCTAAACCATCCCCATCCCCATCTTCAAATACCCAAACCCATACCCGCCCCATACCCATGCGGGGAATGTTTTGCAAACCCATCCCCATACCCGTGGGTTTCGGGTACCCATGGGTAATACCCATCCCCGTACATCCAACATTATTATACCTAAAACTTACAAGAAAAGTTTTAATTATAACCATAAACAAACCTATTATATCATGAAGTCAACAAAACACGGTCATTTTCTAAATACGATTCAAAGAATATGATCCTAAAACATCCATTAATACATAATATAGACTACAATATTTTTTAAATTATTATGCTCTAACTCTTGATACATTTACTAAGTAATAATTAACTAACATAATCTTGTTGACAAGGGGGAAAGTGAAAGAGTGGAAGGAGAATTGAAGGAAATGAATTAGGTTTTGATTAAGGTGGTTACTCAATTACATTTCTACTACTTATTTTCTCGAGTTATCATCATCGTCATCATTGATAGATTACAATTTAATCCACATATTTTTTGATATGTGAAGAAATTCTCTTGGTGGGGCGGGTACGGGTATGGGTATGGGGCGGGGAGGCTAAAACCATACCCGCCCCATACCCATCAAACTTTTTGCGGGTTTTACCCATACCCGCCCCATACCCGGTCAAAGCGGGGATTCCCCGCGTTGACTGGGTCGGGGGCGGTCGGATACCCGCGGCCATGGGTTTGATTGCCATCCCTATCAATGACTGATGAGAGAGGATGTTTCATACCTGGAGATGCCAACTGGTTGGGATGACTGGTTGAAGAATGCTGCTGAAGCAGGTTACAATGATATTGTTGTAGGTGGGAATGACGTTTGATGGTTCTAGTGGATTTGCGGACAGGGATAGGGTCTGTTTGTGGTGGTGGGGAAGGTGGTGGTGGGGGAGGTGGTGTAGGAGAAGGAGAATCCTGATTATAGTCATTTTCAGTATCTGTGTCAAAGTGGTGATCCAGAATGAGTGGGGAAGGGTCAAGGGGTGGAGAAGGAGAGTAAGATGGACTTGAGTCATCAAATAAGGCTGGATCAGAGGGAGTTGAGTAGGCTGGGTTTTGGTTTGGGGTAGAGTTGTGAAAAGAGAATATGTGTTCATGAAATTGAACATCTCTGGATAAAAAACATCATGAGTGAGAAGGTCATAAATTTTATAACCCTTCATTCCATTTTGAAAGCCAATGAACACACCTTTCCTAGCTCTAGGATCAAACTTCCCTCTATGATGGGCTAGGGTACTATCAAAACATAAGCATCCAAAGACTTTGAGGTCAGATAGGTCTAGTGGTTCATTGTGGAGTTTTTCATATGGTGTTTGATTCCCAAGAACAAGAGTGGGAACCCTGTTGATTAAGTAGGCTGAGTGTTTGACACAGTCTCCCCAAAAAGCAGGAGGGAGATTGGCCTGAAATTTGAGGGCTCTAGCAACAGCTAGAATATGCTGATGCTTCCTCTCTAGTTTGTTGTTTTGTTGAGGAGTCTCAACACAGCTCAACTCATGAAGGATGCCAGTTTGGTTAAAGAAATCAGTCATGGTGAATTCCCTACCTTGGTCACTCCTAATTCTCTTAACTTTGGTTTGAAACTGTCTTTTTGCATAGGAACAGAAAGCTTGAAGTTTTGGTCTAGCTTCTGATTTAGTTTGTAAAATAATCAACCAAGTCATCCTACTATAATCATCAACAATTGTGAGAAAATACTTGAAACCATCAAAACTAGGGACTGGATTTGGTCCCCAGATGTCAACATGTAGCAAATCAAAAACTTGTTTGGTTACAGCGGTACTGGAAGGAAATGGAAGTCTCTTCTGCCTAGCAAAATGACAGACATCACAGGCTATAGAGCTGTTTGTATGTATCTGTGGACAAATTGTTTGCAAAAAGGGCACTTTTGAATGAGAGACATGACCTAGTCTATGGTGCCAGATATCAAAGGCTTGTGTGCTGGAAGCTGAGATGAGTTTTGGTGAGTTGGTATCTACAGGGGTCTCAAGGTGGTAAAGGCCAGAGGAGAGCTTAGCAGAACCAGTCATCCTCCTCAGTTGCATATCATAGATCAAGCAGACATTGGAAAAGAAGGTAAGGCAAAGAGATTTGTCTTTGGTCAGTTGACTGACAGAGATAAGATTGAAGCTGGATTGAGGAACAAATAAGGCTTCATGTAAAATGAGCCCAACAACATAGGTGACAATGCTTATGTGTGTTGCTTGTACTTTATCTCCTGTTGGTAGGGTAATTAAGATGTTGTTTGTGCTTCTGTAGTTTGTTAAATAACTAAGGGAACAAACTATGTGGTCAGAAGCTTCGGTCAAGAATCCAGGTTTGATGATGTGGTGTTTTATCACTCACATTGAGCAGAAATTTATCTGGGGGGTTTGCTGGTTTGGTGGTGAAAGTAGCATCGGTAAAGGGAGAGTTATCATTGGTGGAAGGCATGGGATTACCTTTGTCATGCATGAGTGACATCAGTTTCATGCAATCTGCCTTGGTGAGCTTCACCTCTTGCTGTAAATCATCTGAACTGGCTGTGTTCACTTGAAGTTTGTTGCGTGGGGGTCCTCTTGGGTTTGGATAGCCATGTTTACTAAAGCATTTGTCCTCTGTATGACCTTGTTACTTGCAGAATGTACACTCAAGTGGTTTTCCAGAAGGATTGGAAGATCTGGTATTCATCCCTGGGGGCCAGCCATGCTTGTGGTAGCAAGTCTCCTCATTGTGGCCTAAGAACTTGCAGTGAGTGCAGTAAGGGCGTGGCCTTCTGATATGAGTATTGTTGCTAGTCTGAGCTACAAGAGTCGGTGCTTCTGCTGAGAGAACTTTGGATGGCAGTGTGTCATACTGCTGTCTTTCATGCTGCAACATCCTCTGCAAGACTCGATCTATGGATGGCAATGCATCACCAAAAAAAACTTGGAATCTAACGCTGGAGAAGTTCTCATTCAATCCTCTCAGAAATTGAATAACATAATTTGTGTCCCTGTATGCAAATACCAATCTCATAGCAGCACATGTTTCTCGACTAGTTGGTGTGCAGGTACAATGTTCAAGTGGTTGGGAGTTGTCTTATTCATCTCGAATGGCAATGAGGTTGCCATAATACTCAATTATACTAACTGGCTACGCTGTTTGAGAGTGCTTAGAGATTCAGTAAGTTCAGCAATCCTTACCACATCACCTTGACCAAAACGAGATATGAGACTGCGCCATGCTTCAAGTGAAGTTTTGCAAGACATGATGGTCTTTCTGATGGTTGCTTCAACGGCCTGCTGGATCCATGAGAGAACCATGACATTGTTCATATTCTTGTGCCACTCCCGTTTGGTTTTATTCCAAACATAATGTTGGGGAAACTCAACAAAAGTATACTTCCTGGCTTCTGCAGAGAATCGATTCATTTTCATCCATCCCAACAACATAGAAGTCTGGGCACGTTTTGACTGAAGCAATCCTCGAGGGTTTGAGCTTCGCCGTGAGATAACTACATTCTAGCCCGGAAGATGGTACGACATACGCAGGACTGACGGATATTGGGAATAAACATTAAATTTTAACAGCCTCCAACATGCTTCACCAGATGTTATGTATCGGCAATTTAAATATGCTTTTATCTCATCAATACGTGGGGCAGGATTTGATCCTGATGCACTGGGTTGCGGGCCATCATTGCTTTGGTTGCCAACCAGTGAAGCCTTCGCTCGATCTTGGGGTTTATTAACATACTTAAATAGATATTTGATTGCCCTGCAATAATGAGGAAAGCTTTATTAGGTAGTGTATATCATGCTAAAAACATTGCAAATGGAAGAAAATAAGAACTTCACGTGATAGACAGGAGTAATAAAAAATAAGGACTGGACCTTTTGGCTGGACAGTGGCAGCCATTGCGACGGCGGCTAGGGTTTATAGAGGCTCTGATACCATGTTAACACATTTGTGAGGAGAAACCCAGTCTTCTCTTACCTTTCTCATTAGAAATTACAGCTTATATAGCTGGATAGAATAGTACATTTTTTATGTTGCTTACATTTCAAGAAAGAAGACAAATCTTGCAAGAAAAGAAAGACAGCCCGAAAAGGGTAAAAGTTACAAAAAGAAAGTTCAGGTACTACTTGGCACTTTGCCAGAAACGACATCACTCCAAGACCTCTTCTTCACGTCCGTTTTAGCCAACTCGATATCGTTTGGTGTCGTCTTCTTCTCACCTGTTTCAATGCTGTCCCTCGTTTTCTCCTTATAGCCGGTAAAAGTGAAAGGGTAAAAGAAGAAGAAAAACAAGAAACTCTACCGTGTATATTTACTGAGAGAATAATTAAGAATATGTTACGTTCAATTTACATGCAAAAACAACCCATATATGTACAAGAGGTCGTCGTAGTTATGACAAGACAACCTTTCACCTAATTATGATGACAAGCCTAGCTGCGCTAATTAATGACAAAACGGAGCGAAGCAAACCCCCAACGGCCCCCAGACCAGACACGAAAACGACGCCACTTTCTCCCAACACGACTCCATGCAGCTCCGTTCCCGAATGCTAATGATCGTCGCCGCCGACACGTACGCCGACGCCGCGTGCTTCACCAGATGGTTCCTGATCGCGATGCTTGCCGGGTCGAACTCGTACCCGTTCCCGTTCCCCTCGTGGTGATGATAATTAGCTGCGCCCCACAGGTGGCTCGTCGGAGATCCTCCCGAGATTATGTCCTTCAGGCTCGTGTAACGCAGCTCCACGTCGTCGTCGTCGTCGTCGGAGTTGTCGTCGCTGTGGATGGGGGAGGAGGTGGATCGGGCCATGCGTGGTGGGGGTGTTTCCTGGTAAAGCGGGCGGCGGTGTGGATCTTGTGGATTAATCATGGTCGGCGCCGCGGCTGGGACGTTGTGACGGTGGTGGTGAATGGGGAAGGGTGGAGAACGGGGATGAGGAGAAAGCTGTCGTCCATTATGTGGTTTGTGGAGATTAATTGGGAAGTTTGCGGAACAAAAATGGTTGAGATTTTGTTTTTTGGGGAGATTTTCTGTTAGATGGATGAAAAGCTGAGGGAGATTTTATATTAGAGGTGATAATTATCCTTGAAACCAATCTAATTTTATATTTCTGGAGGTCATCTTGTTTGGTTAGATTTGGTCGTTGTTGGTGAATGCATGATTGTCCATTTATATAGGCTAATATTACTCCTTCTCCTACCGATTTTAGTTGGTTGATCATTTCGTTGGACAAAAATTTATAACTGACTACACATTTTCCGGTATCATAAACGGTTTGATTATCATTTTATAATGTTACATCACTCTTGACCTGTAAATGTATGATACTCTTTTTCCTAAGTGCATGTTTTCCCATAATTAATTCTCTTGATACTAGTAATCATATGTGAAAGTTGAGATGCAAAAGGTCATGTGAACTAGAATAAAAATGTTAACAATTGGGCTATTTGTTATAACATTTATCGTTTATTTCAATATGATAGAACCGTTCAAAATAAGTATAAATAGTTAGACATTTTTAAGGGTTGATTGGATAGACCATTATTGATCGAAATGGCTATTTCTCGATTATATAAAAGACTGACCAAAGTTATATTGCTAATCAAATTTGATTATTTTACGTCAAATTAATCATTCTAATTCTGTTCGGCTAACACTGATACCCCACGATAAATTATAGCATGTCTTTTTCTCTATACATTTGAAAATATAGAAAAGGAACACTCGGAAATACAAGAGAAGTAGTACCTAAAATGGTCTCCAATCATATCCACTTTCAAGATACCACATAGCAACGGCCAAGGAGGGTACAAAAGGTACAAAATCTCCCCCCATGCCATGAGACATTGAAAGTCTTTTTTATTTTTCCAAGGTTGGAAGGTGTTGTATTTGCGGGCCAGGGCCAGACTTTGCTTTCATTGTTTGTCCGTAATTGGGCCAGTATTGGGCCGGCCAAAAATTGTAATATGGGGCGCATGTGTTCTAGCCTCTACCGTGGCTCATTGGAGCGCTTGGGCTATATCTGGTTTAGCTGAACCAAGCCCAGAGGAGTAGCTTTCCATCGATCATGGAGTCGAGTCGACCCAATGCAAATGGCGTTGAACAAGTATAACTCATGACTACTTCTGCCACATTGGCAGCACATCCACATGTGTGTGGAGGATATTCACGACTTAAATTAAAACAGAAGAATGATATATGCCACAAGAGTTTCGACTGTTGGCAAACTCGGAATTGGGGCGATGGTAGCTTTCACTCTCATAAGAAAGTTGCCGCCATTGGTGGCATGATTTGAGACCTCAACAAGCAGCATGGGTTTATGGTTTTGCCCACAAACATCAGCTGGTGCTCTATTATATCAACAAAGTTGAGACTGGTAAAGGATGATTTGTGCCTAGTATGATGGATAGGAATTAGGAGAATTAGTGTTAAAGTGATATTTGGAACTAACTTTTCCTCTCACTTGGATTTGGTATTGATTGCAGTTTGCAATTGTCTTCTTGCAAGATACTGATACTGTCTCAATTTCTTAAGTGCAAAAGGAAGACAATTCAGTTATCAATTGTTTAGATAAACTAAGTCACCAATAGTGGCGGAGTCAGAGTTTGAAAGTACATGTGTTCTATTTCCATAATATAAATATATATTGTTTAATAAATATAATTAAAACTAATAATATTCAAATAATTCATTGATAGATATTAATGAAATACTAGACTAACACAATCATTATTTTCATAAGCACTTACAACACGTTTTCAAATTCTCAATGTATCCGACTAAGCAATCATTAGCAAATTGGTCGCAATTCGACTTTGAAACTTTGTTTTTGATATAACTCAAATCTGAAAATGTTCTTTTTGCACTTGCAGTTGCAACGAGTAGAGTCAAAACTAACTACATAAGACATAGTGATCGATTTTTTAGTATTGTGAATTTTATTTATAGTGTGATAAATTAGTTTATGTTAGCTTTTAAACTTGAGATAACTTGTAGTGTAGTGATAATTCACTTTTATATTACCTAAACGTGATGAGTGCAATCCTTAATTGATACATATATATGGGTAGTTTATTTTTCCCAAAAGTTGCATGTGTCCCGGGACACATTCAATTGTCCTTGGCTCCGCCTATGGACACCAACTGCAAGCAGGTCGTGCAGGCCATTTCTCTTCCTCGTCTGGGCCTGCCTCTGGGCCTTGGCTTATAGACTCAGCAGCTAGTCATCATGTCACCTCTGACTTGGGTCATCTCTCACTCTATTCAGATTATACAGGCCCAGATGAGATCTTAGTGGGTGATGCTTCAGGTGGCTATCTCTCATATTGGCTCCTCATCTCTATCTACTAGTTCACATACCTTGCTTTTGCGTGATATGCTATGTGTACCTACCATTAAGAAGCATTTAATTTCTGTCGCCAAGTTATGTCAAACTAATCCTGTGTCGGTAGAATTTTTTGCCACTCATTTTCTTGTGAAGGATCTTCACACAGGGGCGCCACTGCTGAAGGAGGAAAACAACGGTGATGTGTATGAGCTGCCTCATGATGTGAATAATGTTCGGCCCCTCTGGCCCACCGTCGGCCCCAGTCCACCCGCCCAAGCTGCTGCGGTCTCACTCTATGCAGACTCGGGCCCAGAGTGGTATATTTCGGCCCAAAAGGCTGTTTTCTACATAGCTATCACCTAGGCCCCCTCCTCTTCAGCCCATATCTGTAAAAAAGGCTCAGCGTTATCCAGAGTGGAATGCAACCCTCTCCGTTGAAAATTCTGCTCTCTTGGCCAACGACACTTGGGATCTTGTTCCTCGGTTACCTCATTATAATGTTCTTGGTAATCGGTGGGTCTTTCGTGTCAAGCATCATTCCGACGGCTCTATTGAGCGCTTCAAAACTCGCTTGGTGGCCAAGGGTTTTCTTCAATGTCCTGGGGTGGATTTTACTGATACATACAGTCCGGTGGTTAAACCAGTCACAGTTCGTACTGTCTTCACTTTGACTTTATCTCGTGGTTGGTCCATTGCCCAGTTTGATGTTAACAACGCCTTTCTTCAAGGCCCGTTGACTGAGGAGGTTTATATGGCTCAACCCCCTGGCTTCGTTGATCCATCTCGCCCACATCATGTTTGTCGGCTTAAGAAGGCTATTTATGGGCTCCGCCAGGCACCACGGGCTTGGTATTCTACCTTATGCACATTCCTCCAGGAATTTGTTTTCCACAAGACTCATTCTGATGCTTCTCTCTTTGTCTACTCTCGTGGGCCGACCCTCTTATATTTCTGGTTTATGTTGACGACTTATTACTCACTGGCAACGATCAGGATGTTCTTACCGCCTTTCAGCAGGCTTTATCGAGTCGCTTCTCCCTCAAGCCTCTTGGTGATGTTAATTATTTTTTGGGCATCGAGCTGATTCCGACTTCCACAGGTTATATTTTGTCTCAATACAAGTATATGGTCGACATTCTCCATCGCTTTTTGATGACTCATGCCAATGCGGTTGACACTCCTATGCCCGCTTCCACCCATCTCACCCTCGACGATGGCACACCCCCTACTGATGCAACCCAATTTCGTCAGGCTATTGGTGCTCTCCGGTATCTGGTCTACAATCGTCCTGACATTGCTTTATCTGTCAACAAGCTCTCTCAATATATGCATGCCCCCACGACCTCTCACTGGCAATGTGTCAAGCGCCTACTCCGTTATGTCTCTGGTATTCTCACTTATGGTCTCTCTATTCGAAGTTCCGGCACTTCGCTCCATTTGTCTGCTTTTGCCGATTTTGATTGGGCGGACAATCTCGATGATCGATCCACCACGTCCGGCTACCTTATTTACCTCGGCTCCACTCTTATCTCCTGGCGCTCGCAAAAGCAACGGACCGTAGCTAGATCTAGCACTGGGGCGGAGTATCGTGCTATAGCACATACTGCTGCGGAATTGGAGTGGATTCAGAATCTTCTTCTCGAACTGCACGTTCCCATACCTTCAACCCCGACTCTGTACTCCGATAATCTTGGCGCCACGTACTTCAGCTCCAATCCGATCTTTCATTCCCGGATGAAGCACTTGGCCTTGGACTATCACTTTGCTCGTCAACTGGTTCAAGCAGGTCGCCTTCGTGTGTCCTACATTCCTGATGCTCTCACCAAACCACTTCCCGCTACATGGTTTCTTCTCCTTCGATCCAAGATTGGCGTCATGGATACCTCCTCCATCTTGTGGGGGCGTATTGAGGATAATAAGTAAAAGAAAATGTATTTATTTTATTTTTTTTTTCTTCCTGTACGTTTCCCACTCCCTTTCTGTTCCTCTCTTCTAGGAACGTGGGTATCTCCTCTGTTGTATATTAGTTAGCTGCACAGGTCAAGAGAATCAATGAATCACAGATTTTTCTCAACAATTATTTCCTCTTTTCTCAAAACTTCTACATGTCGTACCACAGAACGTAACATGACATTTCGCTCTTCCTTGTTTACCCCAAAACAAGTCCTAATTATTAACTCTATATGCATGGGACATGATAATCTCTTGTAATCTATCTCTTTGTTCATAGAAACGACATTTCTTTTGAATTTTTTATATTCGACACTTATCTTAATAGGAAATTCAATTACTAAACAAATAATGAAAATAAAAAGTAAAAAGCAATTGTTCCCTCTCTCCCAATTTATTTTTGCGTCAATACATTCTCTTAGAGTTGTCATAGTTGGTGTCCATAGGCGGAGCCAAGGACAATTGAATGTGTCCCGGGACACATG